AACCACTGCTAGCTGACCCTCCATGGGGCCTTGGAGTCTGAAAATCACATGAGAGGACTTTGGCCATCTTTCTCTTGGTGTGTTCATCCCCCACCTGAGGGCCTGAGGTCTTGATGGTGGTGGCAGTGGTTATTATTTGTTCTTTGTTTACTTAGGAAGCTCTCATGGCCTAATGGGTAAGGAGTTGTGCTGCCAACCCAAAGGCACATGGTTCAAATTCACCAGCTGAAAAATAGACAGTATCCTCTCATATGGTTTACAGCCTCCAGAAACCCACTGGCGGGTCAGCTATGAATTGATTCCGACTCCACGGCAATGAGATTTGTTTGTTCAGTGTGAGTGTTCATTTGGACAGACCCTGTTGGCTACAGGGCAGGGGTGGCTGGAATTCATGAACCCGACCGCCAGGCCTGGTTATCTGCGGTACCTCTGGACAGGTTCCAGCTCTGACCTTATGGTGAGGAGCCAGGCTCACACCCTCGGCGCCACCTGGAGAACTTATGCTGAGGTCATTTGATGGCACCCTCTCCCTCCTCATGTGGCTGGCCCTACAAGTCCCACTGTACCTCCATGGCATTCTAAAAATCATATGGTGGGACCCAGGCTGCCGTGTTTAAGGAACAGTGAGGCCAGCATTCATGCAACTGAGTGAATGTGAGAGAGGGCTGTGCTCAGAGGGCTAGAACCAAGGGAGGGTGCAGCACTTTTGCTGAGGGAACCAGGGGCTGTTTAAAGTGGTTTTTCCTCGGCTGTAACTTCAAGAAGCAGATTGCCAGGTGTTTTTTCTCACTGAGCTGAGGATGGATTCAAACTGCCAAACTTAGAGTTAGAAGCTCAGAGCATAGGTGAGCTCTGGTAGCCTAGTGGCAAGGAGCTGCAACTACAATCCCAGAGGTGTACGGTTCGAATCCACCATATGCTCTGCCGGGGAAGGAGGGACAATCTCCTCCTCTAGCAGTCAGATCTGATTTGACGGTACACACACACACACACACACACACACACACACACAGAAGCTCAGAGCATAACCATTACACCACCAGGGTTCCTCATGTCCTCCGCAAAAAGAAAACAAAACACATTGTGGTGGAGACAGTTCAGGTTCCCTGTGAGCTGCAGGGCAGAGTAGCTCCGCTGGGATTTCCAGGGCTGTCCATCTTGGGCAGACTGTGGTAAAAATGTGAGTTTTCTGCAGAGCAGAGGTAGCAGTGGTGGGGTTCGAACCACCAGCCTTTTACTTAAATTTTAGCCTTTCACTGAGCATTTAGCGGTGAGGGAGGTTGGCTCCCTCTGCACATTAGTCCCTTTGATCATTTCTTCTGAGCCTTTGTTTTGTAAGATCAACCATGTTACAGAGACTGGTCTTCAGTTCCGATTTATTCAGTTGTTTCCTAATAGCTTGAGTCAGGGTGAATATTCTCACCACTGCATTTATTTGTCATTTGATCTGTTTTAACCTTTTGTGGTGATTTGGGGAATAGTTTACAGACCCAATTGGCTCTCCCGTTCAACAGTTCACATACCTTCTGCCTTCCTGATGGCGAGCCCTGAAGTGTAGTAGAACTTTCCCCACTCCCTCCCTGGGTCTTTCATTTCCACTCAGCCTTCTTTCCTGCCTGGGCCCTCTGAGCTTCACCCCTGAAAAATGCTGCCCCTCTTCACCCTGTACATGGTTTGTTCTAAGGCATGTATTCTTGCCTGTTGGTACTGATTCCTTGATAGACCTGTTTATTGTTTGGATGAAAACTGAGCCTCAGTGGAGTGATGGCAGGCTAGAAACAATCCAAGAGCCAGTCTCTGCCAGACTAGTAGGCCTGGTCATTGTGTTTGTATAGTTATTTTATTCTTTCTTCGTATTTGAGTGAAAATAAATCATACTAGTTTTTTATTCAATCATTCATCCACATTTTTTTTATTGTATTATATTTACGTGTACCGTCAAATCAGATCTGACTGGTACAGGAGGAGATTGCCCCTCCTTCTCCAGCAGAGCATCTGGTGGATTTGAACTGTGTACCTCTGGGATTGCAGTGCAGCGTCTTGCCACTAGGCCACCAGAGCTCCCTCACATTTTGTTTTATAGTGTTAATTACAGTTGATGTCTGTGATTAAAAGAGAACAAAGAGCGCAAGGATGACACACAAATTTGTGAAGTGTTCCACATTTTTTTTTTTAAAAAAAGAAAGAACAAAGATTCTCACCACTGGGCAGACTGGCAGGATCATGATAGATGGTGAAGAGATTGAGATTGTGGACAACTATAGCTTACTTGGTTCCACAGTCAGCACTCTTGGTACCAGAAGCCAGGAAATCAAAAGATAAATTGCATTGGGAAAGTCTGCTGTTAGAGACTTCTCCAAAGTACTGAAGAGCAACAGTGTCAGTCTGGAAACTTAGGTGCACCTGATTCAGGCCATGGTCTTTGCGGTTACTTTGCTATGCATCAGAGAGCTGGACAATGACTAGGGATGATAGGAGGAGAATTGATGCCTTTGAGCTGTGGTGTTGAAGAAGAGTATTGAGTATACCAGGGACTGCTAGGAAAACAAACAGGTTCATCCTAGAGAGGGTGAAGCCAGGCTGCTCCTTGGAGGCAAGGTTTCTGAGGCTTTGTCTGACATACTCTGGATGTGTTGCAAGGAGAGACTAGTCCTTGGAAAGAGATGTCATGCTTGGGAGGGTGGAGGGACAGCACAGGAGAGGAGGACCCTCGATGAGATGGATTGATGCAGCAACTGGGGTAATGGAGGTAGGGGTGTCAGGGACAGTGAGATTGGCACAGGATAGAGCACAGTTTAGGGCTATTGTACATAGCAGGTAACTTGACGGCACGTAACAACAATTGAAACTGGAGGTTCAAATCCACCCGCGACTCAGTGGGAGAAAGCCTGGCTGTCTCCCTCTGTCATTTACAGCCTCTGAAAACCCCCTGGAGGGTCAGCTATGGCCCAAGTCCTGCTTATTACCAGAGTTTACGTTTGAACGTGATTGATGGCAGGATGTGATTAGCCCTATTGCACCCGCCTTTCCTTTCACTCAATTGATCTGCCTCTTTTTACTCTCCTCCCTCCCTCCTCAACGCTGGTAACCTTCCAAGAATTACACCACCACCCGCCCGCATCTGTGCGTAAACCTTCGCTTAGCTTTTTACAGTCAGTCGTGGTGTTAGACCATAATCGCCCTTCAGTGGCTGACTTCTGTCACTCAGCATCATTTGTTCTGGATTCGCCCATGTTACACTGTATTTCATGAATTCTTGGGGGTTTTTAGTGAGACATAATAGTCCATTGTGTGAATGGACCATGGCTTGTTTACCTACCCGTCCGTTGATGGACACTTGGGTTGTTTCCCTCTCTCCTCTGTTGTAAATACCGCTGCCAGGACAGGAGTGCACTTCACAGCAGTTTGACACATCCTGTTTCTTTGTGATTTATACACAGTCATGGAATTACTAGGTCAAATGGTATTTTTATTCTTAACTTTCAAACTGCTTTCCATAGCAATTAGACCATTTCACATTCCTCTCTCTAGCTTTTTTTAAATGTTTTTAAATTCATTTTTAAAAATTTGAGTGAAAATGCTCACATCAAAGTGGATTTTATCCAGCCAGTCATAGACATTTTGCTTTATAATGTTCATTACAGTTGATGAATGTCATTAACTAATTATAGTGTCTGATCACCTCCTTTTTCATATTTGCTTTAAAAAAATTATTAATTTCAGTGAACATTTACAGAGATTTTGTATTTCTATTCATTCATTGTTGCACTTTTCTCCCTGCCCAGCCCTCCCCCGGCAGTTCGCTCCTCTCTTTGAAAAGCAAAAGAAAAAAATTCCCTCTTTGGTATACAATCCCCCCGCACCCCTCCCACCGGCCCGAGTACACTCCACTATGCAACCTTCATTCTGGACTTGCACCCCTCTGATCTCTTAATTAATATTATTTAATTTTCACTCCCTTTTCCCTCACTCCTCATCCCTCCAAGATGGAATCTGTCGCTGTAAACACCCTTTTAATCCGAGCTTTCAGCTTGGTGCTTTCTTTCTCTGCGTCCTCCTTGGCCTCTGAGAATCTTCTCTATCTCAGCACTGCCTGCGGGGCGTGAGCGACCTCGTTCCTCTACCTGGCTGTGTAGTACTCCATTGAAGGGGGCAGTTGGAAGTTGTTCAAGCAGCCACCTGAGGGGAGGACATTTAGGTGGTTTCCAGTCTTTTGTCATTTCAAACAATGGTGCGGGAAATTACCTTGTAAAGGCACATTTTCCACACACAGTGATATGCCTTTGGCACACGTTCCCGAGATGTGTGGTTATGGACAGTAAAGGGCGATTTTCTCTCAGTGGTGTAATTCCTGTACCTTCTCAGTCACTTGCCCAGGTCTGAATGGACAGATAGATGTCATAGGACATTACATCACTGCAACAGAGAATCCCCTCCCACTTTTCCCCACTGCCCGGAAATAGCCTGTTTGCTTTTCTCAGAGATCAGTTTTGCATATTCTTGAATTTATGTAAATGGAATTTTTTTTTTTTGGAGAGTAAATAAGCCCCAAAAGTACCTATGTTGCTGATAGAATGAGTTCTAACGCCCAGCAACCTAGCAGGACAGAGAGGAGCTGCTCCACAGGGTGTCTGTAAGGAGGCCAGTGGCCTCATTTATCCACCCGGCCGTGTTTGATGGGCCTGAACTGCCGAACTTGTGGTTCACAGGTGAGCACCCTAACTACCGCACCACCACCAGGGCTCTTTCTGGAGAGCAGACAAGTGACCATGAAAGGAACATTTTCAACTGGACAATGTACAGTAGGTCACAAAGCTCCACACCTGACTTCTCTAGACAGCCCTGGAGGTGAGGCACACCTGTCACCTACTGCTCTGCTGACTAAAAGGTTGGTGGTTCACGTCCACCAGCCGCTCAGTGGGAGAGGCTTCCCGTGAAAATTTACATCCTGAGAAAAGGAAACCAGAGGGAGGGTCAGCTGTGGGTGGGCTCCGATTGACAACAGTGGAAGCCAACTATACTTAAAAAAACAAAAAACAAAACCCAGAATGAGCTCTGGTGGCCTAGTGGCAAAATGCTGCACTGCAATCCCAGAGGTACGCAGTTCAAATCCACCAGATTCTCTGCTGGAGAAGGAGGGGGCAATCTCCTCCTATACCAGTCAGATCTGATTTGATGGTACACATAAAAAATATATATATATATATATATATATATGTAAATTTAAAAAACCAAACCCCAAATATATAGTCAACTAGCTCTTTTTTTTCCTCCTCTGAATGCTATTACTTTGTTGCATTTTGTTGTGACTCTTTTGAGAGTTGGCTACAGAATGGTAACATCAGCAAATTAACACACTGCAAGCTATCACCAGTGGGAAAATACACAAAACTCTGAAGACAGCTGGATAAGTCAGAGACTACTTATAATACGGAATCAATAGTCAATGTCCCGGAGTTGATTGCTATCCATGGACCTGTTGCTGACCGACAGTGGTCGCCCTGTAGCGCTGGAAAGAGCCGCCCGTAAGGTGTGAGTCTTCACAGGAGCAGATGGCTTCGTCTTCCTCTCTTGGAATGCCTGCTGCCTTTGAACCGCTGACTGTTCGGTTAGCAACCCCGTACCTAATCACTGCCTTGCTGGGCTTCTGGAAACTGCTGATTGTACTGTATTAGAGAGAACACCCTTGCTTTTTAAGAGATGTGTGCCAGAGGGCTTGGGGGTTGTGATGTTAGCCCCTGACTCTGAGCTGCTTCGGGAAAATGAGTGATATTGTGGGCGTGTGGCACTCTGTCGTTGTAGAGCGGAAGACATCATCCTGCTAACAGAAAGGTAGGGGCCTCTGATGGCCTAGGTAAGAAGCTGTGCGGCAATCCCAAAGGCACAGGGTTTGAATCCCAGCTGTTCTGAAGGACAGGGATGGGCAGTCTCCTCCTGTGCGAGTTACTGCCTCTGAAAACCTGCTGGAGGGTAAGCTCTGACTCGACAGTGCGGAGCAGAACCAGCAGCAGCAACACCACCACCACCACCACCAATGATGTGCCTTTGGTTGGGAGCATGACTCCTTACCACGTATGCCGTGCGAGCGCCCCTAACAGAAAGGTTAGTTGTTTAAACCTACCATCCACTCGTCAGGAGAAAGACAGGAAGTCTCCTCCCATTAAGACTTACATAGGGAGCTCTGGTGGCCTAGTGGCAAGAAGCTGCACTGCAATCCCAAAGGCGTGCGGTTCGAATCCACCAGATGCTCAGTGGAGAAGGAGGGACAATCTCCTCCTGTGCCATTTGGATCTGATTTGACAGTACACACACTCACACATTCATTCTCACACACATACACACGACTTACAGCCTCAGAGGTGTGGGGGAGGTAACGGTTTTTGGTAGATCCATAATAACACAAATGTATATCTCACACACACACACACACACACACACACACACACACACACGACTTACAACCGAAGAGACATGGAGGGAGAGTGGCTATGAGTTTCTGGTAGATCCATAATATCGCGTATGTTTGTCACTCTCACACACACAGAGGCGAGCCCTGGGCGTGCAGAGATTAAATTTGGTGCCGATTTACCAACCAAAAGATGATGGCTTGGAACCCCCCTACCCTCCACCCCCTGGGCTCCTTGCAGAGCCACGTTCTTTCATAAACCTTGTTAGATGCCATGGGGTTGACCAGCGGCCCCGGGAACAGCAGCTCTGAACCTTGCCCTAACTAGCGCCATCCTCATAACCTCTGCCTTGCCCCAGCCCATTGTTAGGGTGCCTGTGTCAACCCACATTCCTCTCTCATCACCACAGCTCAAAGACGTCACTCTTATTCATTGTCCATAAACAGTAAAGCCCAGGAAATATGGGCAGATCCACTCGCACCATCACCGCCAGGAGGTACACAAACACACACACACACACACACACAGAGAGAGAGAGGGAGGGAGGGAGGAAGGAAAGAAAGAAAAGAAAATAAAAGAGAAGGAGAGAAAGAAGGAAGGAAGGAGCTATGAAGCAATTGTGGCAGCATTGGCCCTGGAAAAACTGGGTGAAGGGACCTGGTGAAGTTCAGTCTGTGGGAAAGGATTGAATGAACAGTGACGGTGCCTAGCCAGCAGGGGGCGCGCTTGCCTGATGCATGGAGCGCTGGGTGGGCGCCTAGAGCAGAGGCTTATGGGAAATGTAGTGCTTAGCTTTGCTCAGGACAAGCGTGTGATGGGGAGACTCCGTGTGCAGAGGGGTCACCCCTTGGCTGCTAACAGCGTGACCATCCAGGCCTGGCGGGCCACGCCCGGGAAGAAGACTGTAATGTGCTGTGTGATTGCACGCGCAGGGGAGACGCTTCTGAGGGTTTCCCAGGCTGTGCATCTCCCTGGGAGCCGATCGCCAGGCCCCTTGCTAAGAGTTTGCTAACAAGAGTTGTTAATGGGCTCGAACCGCCAGCCTTTCAGTTTGCAACTGAGCACTTAAAACTTTATACAACCAGGGCTCCTTCCTGTAAAAGTGACAGTCCAGGAAACCTTGGAGACAGCTCTGCTCTCTGTCACATGAGGTCGTTGTAAGTGAGGCTATACTTGACAGCACGCAGTGGTGAAGTTCAAGATGGTGAGAGGATAGATAGAGTGTGTAGGGGAGATGAGGAGGGGGCCAGCAAGGGGAGGGATGCTGGGGGCCAGAAGGGCACATAATCAAATCCACAGGAGCCAAAATATGACTTTGATTTCATACCACCTGAATTTCAGAATCATCTCAGGAACAGGTTTGAGGCCTTGAACACTAATGAGC